TTGCTATAGATTGCTATTGACAAGAGCAAGCAGTAACAGAGGTTGAGGGCTGCGGTAATGGCCTGTGATTGAACACCTTGTGCTGAGGTCCCGCTGCTCTCTGCCTCATTAACTCTGGCAGTTCCTCTGTTCAGCACGCTGCATTGCAGGCCACAGTCAGGACGCATTTAACTCTCTCAGCTACAGTCCTGGAAACGTGCATTCAGAAAGGATTTAAACCAGCATAAGGACTTTTAATGCTTCGTCTCGAAAAACGCCTGCAAGTCGTTGCAAATATCCCAGGTAGCTGTTAAGCTTCTAATCGAGGAGCATAGGCTGCTGTTATGTAGAGTATGTGAGTGGCAGCACCTTGAGGTGTACGTGGAGATTTTCAGGTGTGTAGTTACATTTTACTCATCAAAATCCATTTCTTCAAGCTTTAGAGTCCTCAAAATGTTCTGAGATCCTGATGGTCCTCAGTCGTGCTGCATTCTGTCACTTCCACATTTAATTCAAATGGCCACCGTGGTGGAACCTATAACCTAGAATTATAGGAACAGTCTTAAGCTGTTTTCATACATGCACTTCAGATCTGAACTTTTCTAGACGTTACCCAACGGAGCTGCAGAGCTGTGAGAATGCAAATGTCCCTTTTATCCGGATCAGACATTAAAACTGCCTTTAACCTGCCAGATCCTCTGATGCAAAGTCAGTGTGATGTCTGCACGTGTGAGACAAGTGCAGCAAACTCTGAAGAGAATGAATGAGCACCATGTGTCCAGTATCAAACACTCAAACCACCCTTGCCTAATCCAGAGTATTTCCAGTAGAGGCCACATGTCTGAAGCAGATTTCCTGTGGTTTGCTAAATGTATGGAGAAAAGGCAACTTCATACAATGTCCCAGCCAGAGTCTCCTATAAATAGACTGATTCTTATATAGTGTTTCACTGCTCGAGCACTGAAAGTATTTTATACAACATGTGTCATTCGCCTATTTGCACCCATTCATGCAAGCACTATTTTCAACACACTGAAACAATTAAAACTAAGATAACGCACACTGGAGAGCAACTAGGGGTTCAGCGTCTTGCCCAAGGACACATTGCCACACAGAGTGGAGCAGCCAGGGTTAGAACGAGCAACCTTCCGACCTTCAGATTACTACAGCTCAGTTCACCTGTGATAACGGCTCTTGTTGATTTATGCAGGTGACAACTGTAAGAATTTCTGATAATTTTTGAAGCCATTAATCAAGATGGATAATTTTTCTGAATAGGTGCGTGAGTGGGCGGTGGTTACCCTGCTGCTGGAAGCGCCAGCCTCAATGGCAAGCATCTAGCTACAGGCCATTTCTCTGCTCCTTGCCCATCCGGCCACTGTCACCTCCCATCGCGGGGTATTCCTCTCCATTACCAGCCTGTGTCCATCCCCCACTTAAATAACAGCAGCCCTGCCACTCCAGACCCATTAAGATACTACCGGCACTGCTGCGGCCCCGCACACAAACAGCCACAAACTGCCCAAGCCTTTATAAATAGATGGCACGAGAAGTGTAGAGAGGCTGGTTAAAGGAGGTAAATTATTCCAAAACAGCCAAACAGGACTGAGACTAAGAACCCTCCACCGCTCTGGCTCCACAGCTCCTCCTTTCAGGTGTCACTTTGGGCTGACTCAATTTTACACTGTAATGGACCTCCTGGGTCAACTACCTTTCTCCCACCTTTCCTTCCTTTTTTATCTCTCCACTGCTCTCTTCATCTATCAGCAGCTGACAAGCCTTTTACTCACTTTACTGCAACACACAATTATTCCCTGTACTGAAGTTTGGACCGCTTAATTTTATCTAACAGTAATCAGTGTTAGCACTTTGCTACAAACTGTGCTTTGCAGACAAGAAGGGCAAACGATAGCAAGGAGGAAGCAATTTCCTACAGTACATAGACTCAGCAGCATAGGTGAAAGATCTGGGATGTAACGTGCAGTTTGTGGAAAAAGTCTTAAAGACTTTTTTTACTTACTGGTGTCAGATGGACTTTCTGTACTGGCTGGTTAGTCAAACTATTTATTTCTATGATGTTATTTGTACTGTTATTAAAGTTCTGGAACTAGTTGGACTTTTTTCCCACATTTAATTAAACCTAGGATGAAGAAAGTCTTACTGTAGTTGGTGTATTCCTACACTCCAATGAGATCCATAGAAACATATTAACAGGAAAATTAATCATTTCTGTGCTCGTTAGCTAGTTTGCTAACATTGCTAACATTTGGTTAGGTTTAAGCACAAAACACCACATGGTTTGGCTTAAAATAATTAGTTTGTTAAGGTCTAGGGGCCTTGTGTGATCCCGCAGTAGTAAATATGCAGTTGTTATGCAGGATTCTAGGAATGGTCGTGGTTAGAAGAAACGGCATTAACTAAGCAACAAATATCGATCTGCAATACAAGTGTACGTAATCTTATCAATTCATCTACCCAACACAACATCCGCCCTGCAAAAATAATTGGACTTCCTCCTTTGCTGCTGTCGGAGCTACAACAGGCACTAAAGTGCTTTGTATCTTAAAATGAATAGAGATGGCAATTACATGTAAATGTGGGTTGTAATAAGATGCTTTAGTGTTGGCAAAATGCCTGAAACATTAGTTAATAGCAGCTCTTCAAGGCTCAGAAAGTCAAAAACTGCATAAATATGTGGTCATTTTTGATTATTTACTTGTGTGGTGTTTAGAGAGCAGCATGTTTAAATGTCCATCACTTTCTGGTGGTTTGCTTGTACTAACCATCTTTGTTCCAGTGTTCTCAGCTAGATTGTATTGTTTTTGATAAAAGCAGTCACTGTCAGAGCTCTTTTAAAGTTGATACACACTTTGGTGATGCATATTGTTCACCATAATGCGCCGCGCCACTGTAACTGCCCTGACTTCAAAGTCGTGTTTTTCATGCGGTGCTTCCACTTTTTTGTTCCACTGCTATGTTTTTCTGTGTGTGTCTGTCTGCGTGTGTGTTGGTATCTGGGTTTCAGATTTCCACCATGCCTTGGCCTAAACCTGAGGTCAGAGGTCTGCTGACCTTTTACATTCCAAAACCTTTTTTCCCCCTCTAATTCTTGATCTTTGGCCAAAGTCTCCACCCAACCCTACCCCCAAGTCCACTATTCTCTCATTTTCTCTGATGCCCATTTCACCTCTTGTGCACTTACACCATTGTTAGTTTCTTCTTTCAATAACAGAACTTTATTTTTACATATTCAGTCCAACCCTGAATGTTCTGATTGATCTGATATAGCCTAAAGGAAGAAGTATTGTGCTTATGGAGGATCACTGAGTTAGCCAGACCTTAGATGGATTACAAGCTAAAGAAGGAGGAGTGAGGTAGAAAAAGGTGAGAAGTGACTAAAACCTGGATTGTCAGTCAAAGCTATTATCGTACCTGAAATGTCCTGAAGGGATTCTAAAAGCAATAATAGGCATTCATTGGCCTCTTCAGTGGCCTTTTCAATGATAAACGCAGAGAGGACAAGAAGACAGAATTGAAAAAAGAGCAAGCAAGTTTAGATGTAAGTTTAGATGTAGATGTAGGAAATAGATAGATAAATAGATGTTCTGAGCTAAGAAGTGGCTAATTTCCAAAGGGGGATCCTCAAGGTGGCATGAATATGCTCGGAAAAATTAAAAAGCAAAAGGTTGCAAAAACGCTGCCCTGTGTTTGGGGGGGAATAAGTTGGTCAGCAGCACATTTGGAGTTATCCTCCAAGGAGCATGAATATAACTGACATCACATGTAGGGCTGGAAGATTAGTACCTCGGGCTTTCAGTCATGAGTGCTCACCACGGAGTTAATGAAAACTCTACACTCCTGTAGACAAGCCTGATTCCTTTCATGTACAAGAAAAAATGAGAAATAGAGACAGTCCGAAAGTCAGAAGGGAAAGGTTTGTCAATATTTATTTTTTCTCCACTACTTGCAACAAAGTGAGAATTTTTTTTCCTCGTTTCGCTCTTCAGCATCACTTTCTTCTGCTACAAACCGAAATCTCCTCTCTTTACCTGCTTTCCAGCAACTCTTTTCTATCCTTCCTCCTATCATCATTCTCCAGCAATATACTCCCTCCCTTCATCCCGGTTCTTTAGCGTGTAGAGCAGCAGAGACAGTGATTGATCTGGTGTGGAGGCTGTCGTGGGCCCGCCTCCTCCTCCAGTGGTTATGAACATGAGGCGGGCTGCTCTTCATAGATTTTTAAATTAGTGTCAGCTTTGCCCCAAAGATGTGTTATTGACTGATGAAATAGAAACTGAGCTCCAAACACTCAGTCCTTCCCCAGAGTTTTCCCCAGCCTGGTAATTGAAAAAGTGTGAAGGGAGTGTGTTCAAAGGAGCGTGCAGTTGGGTGTGTGTGTGCGTGTTTGTGTGTGTGTGCGTGTGTTCTGCTGTGTTTGTGGGCTCTTTATCTCTGCTGGAGAAAAATGCACAGTGCTCGCTGGAGTCAAGATTCGATTGAAGTATTGCATAGGAGATCTTTATCTTTCTACACACCCACCCTAAAACATGAATGCTGCATGCAACTTTAATCCTATAAATACAGTATTTTTTACATGCACTTGTGAAAAAGTTTTTTGTTTTCCTGGGTTCTTTTCTTTTTCTTCATTCAAATTTGATGTGCTAAAGTTCTCGACATCATACCTGTGTTGTTATCCTGTATTTTAATCACTGTAAGGATACACAACCGTGTGTGATTGGTTTGAGAAAAGCTGGCTTTGGCTGTCACTCTGGATCTACATTGAAGTGCTACTGAATAGCTCCGTAGTGACAGTGCTTTATTCTTCCTGAAATAACCACTGCACAACTTGGATCTAAGTTTTTTTTTTTATCACAAGCACCTATAAGGTCATATTCATCCCTTTAATTGCAAAAGAATGGATACACAAAAAGACATGCGACAAGTCAAGAAACGTGAGGTCGGATGACTTTTAATAAATAATGTTTGCCTCGAATTAACTTGCGGTGTTTTTTGCTCCGCAGGCTCGGACATGGCCATCTTTTGCCTGCTTTGTGGGAAGCGCTTCCAGACCCAGACAGCATTGCAGCAGCACATGGAAGTCCACGCCGGAGTTCGCAGCTACATTTGCAGCGAATGCAACCGGACTTTCCCCAGCCATACTGCACTCAAGCGTCACCTACGCTCACACACAGGTCAGTGAAAGCCGCCTGTGGTGACAAGGCGGCGATATCATTTCACCGAGGTGTTCCATGGGGCGTTATCTGTCTATTTATATCCAGCCTTTTCTCTTGGTCTGGAATATGCGAATGCTGTAACAAATTAAGTGCAGTAGTCCATAATACATTCTCTGTTTGATCTTGGGCAATCCTCATGTACCCACACCAGGTCGGAAAGGTAATCCCTTTGCTCTTTTTTTCTGTATCCTAGAGTCTGCTTTGATTTTAATTCAAAATACCTCCAAAAGTAGGATTCATCATAATTAGATGTCTGAACCACCTCCTTCCTAATGCTAAGGAAGCACATCCAGAACTAGTCCCTGTAATTCCTAGTTGAGTAACAGTCACCTTCCAAAACTTTGAGTATATAGTAGATGAAACACGAAGACCTGACAACTGCAGCCATTTGTTTTTTTAAATCAGTGCACTTATACAGCTTAGCCTTTTGATTCATTTCCTTAGCGTATTTAACAAAAACAACTCAAATCCTTCTAATAAAATGGATGGAATTGCGCACTAACAAGTAGTTGATATCTTTAACTTCTAAGTAGTTTCCATGAATGATATGCTAACTCATGTGCACAGAGTCTGTATTTTTACTTTTTAAGGTTTCTTCAAGTCCAAAAGCTGCTGTGTGTTTACTTTAGGATGGGAGTTTTAACTTTCACTGTCCAGGACAACTGGGTGTGATAAGAGAGAGTAAAAGAAGTGATGCCACTGCCTTTATTTCCTTTTCTTTAGGGCAACAAATACAATACATACATGAACTCTCATACAACTTACACATATTTAAGCTCGTCATACAACAAAGGACCTACATCACATATAGGATGCATGAATGAAAAGGTACATAGACCCATATGAATGGTAGTGACAGTATCACTCCCTATCAGATATCCAGTTCTCTTATCAGTTAGCCAGGAGCGGAGCACGTGTATGTAGATAAAGGACTTTCAGGTGGAAGCCTTAGTAATCACCAAAGTATTGACTATTGGAGAAATGATTAGTAGGAATTAATAATGGCAGAATACATTTTCCACCCAGCTCATACTGATGCCAGATTTCCGTTTTATTTATCGTGCATGCCCACACCTACTAGACCACAGACGTGCAGTCCCTGTGGTTCCATAAAATCTACATTTATTATTATTCCAGCTGATGCTCTACCTAAACGGTACATATTCTTAATTTTTGTGTGTGTTTAATGGAGGCTAGTATAATGTCCAGCAGTGTCCCATAATTCAGGTCATCTGAGTTCATTTGTAGCATAAAATAAAATATAATTCATTCTCAAACAACACGTAGGGATAGGGTGGCTAGTACAGCACAGCCAGCGTAGGGTTGCCATCGACAAATATAGGTATACAAATAAAGAACTCATGTTTTGTTTTTAGCAAATTTGAGTGAATTATGTTACCACTTTCCTGTTACGCTGCTGTTTTTGCTCATCTGAATAAACAGTATTAATTCAGGTCAACACAAAATGAATTCTACAGCAGTCACAAAAAGCGTATTTACAGCAACTATTTTTTTCTTGTTGTTGCTGTTGTTGGGTTTTTTGGTTTGTTTGTTTGTTTTTTTCCCCCCCTTTTTGTCAACTTGTAATACTCACAGTGTTGGCTCTCTACTGAGATGAGGCCAGGATACTAATACATTTTTGCGAGGGAGCAGAGGTAGCCTGACGGATGCGGCTATTCAGAGTAAAGAGAAAAAAGCCGTAGCCATGACAGAATATGAACACATGGAAATGAATCCCATTTCACTGGCAAGGGGATGGACGCTTTTTTCCTTCCCCCTCTCTCTCTCTGTCTCTTAGCCAGCCGCCTGTCTGCGACCTTAAATAACAGTCTCACTGTCAGAGCCGATTTAGCTCACCGGCTCACGGATAAATATTTGAAACGAAAGGCAGTGAGATGAGAGCAGTCGGCCCTATTTACAAGTCAGGCGAATACACCATTAGTGTGTGATGGTGGCAGAAGCCGGGGGGGGTTGAGGTGGCGGAGGAGGGAGGGGGGGGAGGCGGACGTGGCTGCTTGAGCCGCCTGTACAGTAGCGGTGCACACATCTGTTCTATCTACCAGACATTGGAGGGGACACATGCAGCGTCTCTGATCCACCTGCCCACCCGGGCAACGCAAATGTCACCTCAGCTCGTCAGTGGAGCTGCAGATGAGACTTTGCAGCCTCCTGCCACTTTGAACCTCATCCCACTGTGGGCGTGTGTTAAATCACAATGAGCCAGCCGTGAAAGCAATCGTTTAAATATGATGCAGAGCCTTTTGTCAGGGGATTATAAAGTCAGCAACTCGCACAGCCATCATAGGCGCCAGAAATAGGTCTAATTTACCCTCCAAAAAAAAAAAAAGTAGAGGCATGGTGTTCCTCTGCATTTACACTTTGATGTTAATAATCTCATTCACACTTTGCTTGGTAACGAGGCAAAAATAGTGCTTAAAAACAGACAGCTAGACAGCGTATCCACCTTAGAGAATCAGCCTTATAACTTTACCTTCATGTGATGCAGAGACACGTGCACTCTCACCTAGCAAAGTTCAAGTTCGGATTTTTGTCTAATTCTTTTCTTTATATTTTGTTATTTGTTCCTTAATGTATCAATGTTGTGTTTTCAAGTTTTATCGGATGCATCAAACATGCAGAACCCATAAAAGGGTTGGTTGGGTTAAGATGTGGAAACGATTCAATTAATAACGCCCTAATTAACTTATTTTCACTTGTATCAAACGTTAGAGCTACACCTTAACTAAAGTGCCATCCTCGCTTGTTTTGTGCATCTATTTTTCTAGGAGAATATTCCATTCAAAAAGAAATATAGATTAAGTGAGCATGCAAAGGGGTGTATCTGTAAAGATAAATTAGACGTTAAGCCTGTCTGAATGTAGCCCTAGAGGCAAAGCTGCAGTAATGTAAGTCTGTAAATGTAAATAAATTATGTCCATCTGTATGTTCTTATCAGCTAGGATCTTTTCTCGTCTGGATTCTGTAAGACAGCTCAGCTCAAGACATTTGAGTGATTAAAAGCAAATTGCATAAAGAAAGCTGCCATGTATTGGAAAGGAAATCTTTAAACCAACCAAAGTTTCTGCAGTAATGTGCATTTGCTTTATTTATTTACTTCTAGTTAAGTTTATGCAAGCGCCAAAAAGCAGATAAAATGGGAACCATTGGCTCTTCCTTCTATAGTTTTAGTTCTGGTCCTAAAAACATCAAAACCGTTGTCATTAATGCTGATTAATGGCATACGCTATCAAAGACAGTTTATCCATATTGCAAAAGCTAACAGTGCTTAGTAATTGCTAACTAATTACTTTGATAAATGGAAGTAGTGACTAAGAGATGTTTCCATTTGGTGTCATATTTTGTCTGGATTAATAAAGACTCGTCACTGAACACATTTAAATTTAAGATCTGAGATATGTGTAAATTACTTTTTGAATGAAGGTTCAGCTCTATAGGTTTTCTCTCGATTTAAAAATGATTCCTTAAAAAACTGTGCTTTAAAATAAAAAACCAAAATGAATTTTTGTGTCATGTAAACTCCAAAATTTAAATCTAAAAAAGCATATATTATAATAATTGTGACATCATTGTATATTTTCATGTAAGTATTATATTATATTACACTTGCATTATATATTAAAGCAGCACAACAGTGTCCCTGTTGACAAAACCTGCTTTGCAAAGGGAGGAGAAAAACCTTTCACATGCCGCCATTTTTTTCTCTTTGTTTTTCTAATTTTGGGAAAAGCAGTTAGTTATATGCCAAGTTAAATCACAAAATTAATTCATTCTTCTTGTCTGTTCTCTTATTCTGATTTAGTGATGGTTGATCTGTTTTTGTTGTTTTCGGAGGGTGTGCTGTTCTTACAGATTTAGCCTTCCGCTTCATTCAGACCTGGAAAAATTGTATTTCCTCTCATCTGGACTTAAGGCAGACACTGAAACATGGAAAGTAATTGAAAACAAAACACTGCAGGAGAAACGCTGATCCATATTATATTACCGTAATAATGGCTTTTCAGTGGCAGACTTTGGCGTTTAGGTGTGACAGTTGTGTGGTAAATGAGGTTTGGATGAGGTGTCTTTGTTCCAGTGCGCGCAGTTGTTTCCAGCACACAAATGTATCATGGATGCACTGGTTCCTTGCAGGTATTTTCCCAGAAGCACGGCTCAGTTTTGACAAAAAATCCCCAGTAAATACCAAAACCTCAATTCCTGGTATTCAACCTTAATTTTTATGGACAGACAATGGCAGCTCATCTTCCATACAAAGCATTCTAGATATTGCTTGGTTATTGGTTGACTCACTATTCGGTTGTATCAGCTGACAGCAGAAAGCAGCAAAAGCACTTTTATGGACATTCATTACGCGTGCTTCATTTTACCTGTCTGCAGCTTTATCTTTTGAACGCAGCCTTGCTGGTGCGGGCTTTGACACTGGATCACCGTTTAGGACGAGGAAGCAGGAAAAAAAAAACAACCTGATTTAATGGTGTTTATTTCAGCATCTTAATCTTGCCATCTCTCTTTCGCCTCCATCACTGTGTTTTCATTTTCTTCCATCCACCTGCGGTTTCATTACCTCCCCTTAACATCCTATTGCACATTCTTACTGCGATGTTGCCTATCTGTTTAATTTATTTTTGTCTTTATTTCGCGCATGTAGTACAGTATAGGTTCGAGCACTCACGCACAAATGCACAATGTTGGCTCATAAAAAGTGGCAGTCATAGCAGCTGTGTTATTTTTCTTCCCCGGCACCACATGCACACAGACATGCACACTCTCTCTTTACAGACCAGACCTTCATTAATATTCTGTTGTTGTGCACTGTCTGTGTGTAAGTGTCTGTTTTTTTTTCCCTTTTTTTTTTTTTTTTTTTAACTCTGGGCCAATTTGCTGTCTGCTGTGGCGGGGTGTTTTGTGTTCGCAGCTGTATTTGATAGTGCTACAGCCAGAAAGAGAGAGAGAGCGAGAGAGGGCTGAATTGAATTTAGAGAGAGAGAGAATGAGGCAGTTCTGGTCCTGGCAGTGATGGAGCCTGGTGATTTACAGCCTCTTACCGTATATAATGAACACGCACCGTGTGCCCATGGGCACAGGAACCCTCAGCAGTCCTTTGGGGTGTCAAAGGAGGTGATGAGGAGGGGTCAGGAGACGCAGGTGGTGATGCTCGGGGGCACCCTTGGGTTCAGTCACCATGCTGTGGTTCCACCTCACTTTGCCGGGTCCTCATCTGTCGCGTCCCTGCCATGTGGTCACACCACAGAGGGATGGAGAAATGGAGAGAAAATAAAGAGGAAAGCAAGAATGGAAGGATGGAGAGATGGGGGAAGTAATAGTAGCAGATTTGGGATGGACGGAGGACGTGTTCCTATTATTCTCCGCCTCCCATGAGAATATATCCTGACAAAATGAAGCCTTGTCTGCTCCTTTACATTCTCACAATGTGATTACAGAATTGTGTCCGACTTATATAAAACTCTGCAGTGCAACTTTGCACTTTGGCGTCCCCGAGTGGCAATGGGAGATAACATGCGTGATGAGCATCCAGCAACAGGGTGCTTGAGTGAGACCGAACCCCCTCTGTATGTTATACCACGGTTATTTTTTTTGCTTCTGCTGATACCAGAAGCTCCTTAATTAAATTTACACTGGGTCTCTAAGCCTGAATATTATATATTTGTTGTCTATTCATTATATATAGCTAAAGCAGTTGTAGCCAGCACAGACTAACAGAGGCACCCTTACTTTAGCGCAGTAACTGTAGCATTGATTTGTGTGTTTGGGTATAGGAAAACTATTTTTTTTGTTTTGCATTGTTGTCAAATATGATTTTGAGGTTGTTTTCTTCTTGCTTTTTGTTTATTGCTGTTATTTCTTGTAAGATTTGCATAAATGTCTACAGTAACTTGAGATAAAGTCAGTGTAAATGGGTTAAATTGAAGTGATTTATAAACCAAATCTAAGCTTCAGATCATTTACAAAGCTATAAGAGAGATCATGGACACTCTCCAAAACTCTTTATTGTGTTTTCCAATTTAATTTAAATAGCACTAACTCACCATCACAAACATACAGAATACATATTGTGTAGAAATCTGTATTGTGCAGAAATCCTTTATTATATTATCAAATGAATCAAGTTCTTTCCTACTAATGGAAGATTTTTGATGTTTGCCAACAGCAGACCTTAGCACAGAAACACGCATCTAAACGTAAATAGCCCTCCACAGACATTCTTCGAGTATTAGCATCCCACTTGCTGGTTTGATCGGAGGCCTTAATTAAAGGCAGGTGAATCTGAGCTCAATTATTATTCTTGCAGCGTCGTGCAAGCCCACCGAGCTCTGTGATGGATTGTGATCTCTGCTGTGGTTGAAACGCTAGAAAGAGCACAATGTCTTACAGCGGGAGCCACTGATAACTTCATGCAGACAAATAAAGACTGTCACTTTTATTGATTTTTGCCCAGCCCCCACCACTGCCACCATATACACCCACATCCCCTGCTCCATCCCTGTCTCAGTTTTATCCCTCCCTCTTTACCCCCTCCAATCCCCAGCATTCCCTTTAATGGGAATGCATCCAGCATCAGAAGGCTTTGAAAACATTTCCCTCCCCAAAAGTATAACATAGCCGACACGTGATCAACATTTAAAGAGTATCCAGTTTACATTCCTTTCCCATCCTTTCTTTGTCTCTCCTTCTAAATAAACTAGTTACATGTGTGCATACTCTACGTGCATACATAAAATCTCAAATAAAATATGCAGGATGGAAGTGAAATAGTCTCTTAACAGCGGGGCAGTGGTAGCAGCACATAACGAGAAATGCAATTTATTCTCTGGCACGTTGCTACTTGGACAGGCAGATAATGAAAGGCATAGGTCACTGATGGTGACTTAAACCTGCAGCGGTAGAGTGAAATACATTAATAAATATCCACAACATTACTTGGATGGAGAGTGTAACACTGGGGGGAAGCAAATGACGCAAGAAGCAGCCCCTCATCAAACACGGAAATACAATTAGTCTTTGGACTGCTGGTGAGAGGCTCCTGCAAATCATAATATCCCTGATCACTGACATCTGAATATGCATTACAGCAGCCCTGTGGGGACCTGTGCAGTGGCAGCATGAGGGGGAGAATGTTATCATTTTCATTTCTGAAAGCATGCATGCTATACAACCGCCAGCAGTCTGATGCCTACAATAACTGCGATGTCTCAGGAAGGAAATATGATGCTATCTAAGGAAAAATTAAGGAAGGGTGGAGACGGGGCGTAAGGAGGCTAATATAAGCCAGTCAACATGCTGCCAGTGAATGTCAAGACATGGTACATTTATCTTCATTTACATTTTTAGGCATTGTCATTTAACCGTGATGATGACACACTGTCTAAAATACAAATATTGTGTTTTAGGACCGGCTACATGGCAGTGATCGAGGATGCAGAGTAATTTGGACTCTACGACTAGACCAGTTAAAGACAAATGCCTGAATTTGGGTCTGCTTAAACACATATATATCCAAGGATAATAGATTCTGTGATGACAAACTCACTTCTTTATCCTAGGTTTGCACATTAGTTAGGTGATCCATTAGTGCATTGTGACACTGGGTCTGCATGGTCAATAATACATCTCGAGGCTGGTGAGCAGCCATGACAGGCTACAATTATTTAAGGGTTTGGACAAAGCAAAACAACAGCGCAGGTGATTTGTAGACAAAGACAAAAGATGGGTTATACTTGTCTGCTGTTATTAAAGCCTTTATGTAGCTGCGCATTGGAAGATACTGCATGCTGCTCTTGCATTGTGCAGAACCCCGACAAAATAATCAGATAAAGTAAAACATTTTGCAATGCGGCTTCCTTCACAGTAGCTTTCTAATTTTTTTTTGAAGGTGGAAGCTATTTTCAGACATTTGACGTTCTTCTTTGTCACAATTACTAGAGTAACACTTGAATTGTACATGTAAATAAAGACAAAACCCAAGCTTCTTGGTGCTGTCATTTGCACTCAGTTGTCATTAACCCTTCAAGCTATCTTTTCACGAGCTCAACCAGTGCAGTCTTTAGCCTTTTTATGATACAATGTCATCAGCAGTTTGTGTGAATGTGTCCTATTTTTTCTTTCCACATTTTAGCCGGGGACCACCCATTTGAGTGTGAGTTCTGCGGGAGCTGCTTCCGAGATGAGAGCACGCTGAAGGGCCACAAGCGCATCCACACCGGAGAGAAGCCCTATGAATGTAACGGGTGTGGGAAGAAGTTCAGCCTCAAGCACCAGCTGGAAACCCACTACCGTGTGCACACAGGTACTGTGACCAAAATAAGTAAAGGCTTTAGCGATAATGGATAACAATCAAAGCATTCGGAACTATTTATTCTCACTTGATTCTGTGTTGTTTGCGGTAGAAAATGAAAATCTATAGTGTGCAACACAGTGTAGCATCACAACAACTTTAGCTTTTTGTTTCAGAGCAAAAAACTGTAGAACTTCCTGTTCAACATTTTTCATATATACTCAGTTAACAAATGTTTTGGTGTCTGTAGAGGCCCAGTGACCCCCAAACTTGGGCAGGACAAAAATGGATGCCAGATCATTTCAGATACAATATGTTAACAAATTAATTTTGCAGGTGATAGCAGCTATGTGAAAAAAGCCAGACTAGTGTTTTACACTTGCTTTTGAGTCTTTTACTGTACTAAGTTCTTCTCACCTCACTTGCAGAAAGAGCATAAACTGCAGTAATGAGATGTTCTAAAACATATGGTGCATGATGGGGGAGCCTGTTAAGGGACTCTCTTCTAGAAAATCCAAGTTGCAAGGCGCAGACCAAACCAGATGAATATCTTTGTTGCTGAGATACAGTAGATGAATGTCTCAGAAGACTTTGTATTGATCTTAGTATATTTAGAGCCCCATAAAGATGTTGACACAGTGATAAGCTAGGTGCCCTGGAGAATGAGTGCATGCTACGTAGCAGAGTGAGCGAGGATACCACAAGTGCTCACCAGGATGGCACACAGCCAAAGGTTTATGCTTCCTCACCATCCCTTTTTCTCAAACACACACATAGCAGCACCCTCCCATCTCCCATTCAATAAACCAGCTGTTAAGCCACACTATCAAGGCAGCCTGTCCAATAATTGGCTTCCCCCCCCATCCACCCTTTCGCCTTTTGTGTTGGGGAGGGGGGCTTTGCGTTAAGCTGGAGAGCAACAGCAGATAACAAGAGCAAGTGACAAGCTCACAGTCAAAGGCCACCTCGCACAAAAGGGAGCTGCTTGATGAATCATCGACATTGGCAACCCAACCCCTCCCCGACCCGTCCTCTCCACACATTCCAAATGCCAATGGCGGATCAATACCTGGGCCCTATTTGCAATTCATTATTAGCTGGTTATTTGAAGCGACCCTGTTTACAGTCTGGTTATCAATATCAACATCATGCAGGTGTCCACACTGCTACAAAGAAGCGCGGGGCCTGCAACACTGTATTTATGCTTATTGGCTCAATGGAAGCGTAACCCGGCCCCTGTGGAGGTCAAGGTTAACCGGGGATTCAAAGGAGCAGACGGGCTGGGCAGCAGAGGCACAAAGTCGGACGTTTCGCAGCACACATGCGCAAAGATCTAGCTGAAAGGTGACAGCGAGCGCTGGGCCAGATCACTTCCGACAGCTCATTTCAAATGCCATTGGTAAAGGTCAGCATTTACATGTCTAATTTGCGTCTGCCGGCTTGAGCGCTGGTGGATTATTCCGTGCCATCACTCAAATCATTAGCACATTTAGGCCGGCCGCTGTTGCTGAATTGAAATGTGCCTCTGGAATATAGCAGCCCCCACAGCAAGAAAGCAGTGTTGCACTATGATTTATGACACTTGCAGGAGTTCTCGGTGTCGTCAGCTGTATTTTCTTGTAATGTGCTGTAGATTAGTTGATTAGATCATATTCTATAAAAGTAAATACGCCTGGAATTTTTTTCTTCTTCTGATTGTACTGACTGGTTCTTATCACAGGTAAACAGGTGATATGATTGAGAGAGTCTCTTATAACTCTCGTATTCTCTAATTTGGGTCATTTTGAGCATATTTCTACCGGCTAAAAGAAATTTATACTCACTCTAATAAGTACTAAGAGCTGAATTTTGAATTTTACAGTTTTTACAAGTAATAACAAATAAAGTATATGTTAAATTATCCTCTGCATGTACTTTAAAACTGCTGGCATAATATTCCATGTATATTAGTTTTAATAGCAGAACATCTCCTTTTCTTTTTCTTCTGTTGCACAGCCTGATGTAACTAAAACCTTGATCCTTCCAAAATCTCTTTACACAGGGGTATTTTAATAAAATAATGACATGGAAACAGTTCTATCCCTTTAAAGTAAGAATAATTAGTAAACAAATCATCATGTGCGCTGCTGCTGTGAGGGGATACTTTGACTGGACCTGACGGCTATTCTATTTATTTCTCAGAGGTGAGAAAACTGCACTAATGTACTTGGAGCTTTTTATTCTCCTCTCGCTTCTGATTTGTATCAATTATCGAAGGCTGTTGAGAATGACTTTAAAGAGTTACCATTATCTTTTACTGGTGCACAGTGTCGTCTGGAAGACATTTGGGATTTCACCTCTGGGTTTTGACTTGTCGCTTTTTAGATGCATCGTTCAATTATCATAATAGCGTCAATGTTTCTTGTGAGCCACACAGAGAAAAAAAATCTCTTAGTGCTGATGGGATTTTTTTTCTCTCCCACAACTTTTACTTCTTTGGTGCAAAAGACACCATGTTTAAACTGTCGGTAGATTTGGGTTGATTACATCTTGGGTCTGGCTGTTGTCCAAAGACATAAAGATGGCAACACAAGGTCAAAACAGACCATGTAGTGAAACCTAACTGACAGGGATGAACCACCTTCACCTTAGCTCCTCTTTTGAGGCAATGTTTAACTTGAAAATCTGTAAGATTTTTCTGACATCCAGATATTCAAAATAACCTAGTATACCTTTGACTGCTGCGGCCTTGGTGATTGAAGACACAGAACAGTAGCTGAATCCTCAGAAGCAGCTCAGACAGTTGCTAACCTGTTGGTCCATTTGCTGTTTGTGTGTTTATCTGACTTATGTTAGAAAAAAATAAAGAAAATATAACTCAAATGTAATTTAAAATCGTTGGCTGTAGAAATACACACATTTTTTACTGCATTTTGAACAGCAAGGATTTTTCTCATTGCATTAAATAAAGTTAATAAGTTTTAAGGCAAAGAAGCAGAAGTCATGCACTTATCAGTAACATCTTACAGACTAGTACAGCTTTTCCATCCCTCTAATGGATTTCAGTACTGAATTCCTTTATTTGCTGTTTAACGTCACACTTAGGCTAACACTGTTGTCTTCATCTTTAGGTGAGAAGCCATTCGAGTGCAAGCTGTGCCACCAGCGATCCAGGGACTACTCGGCCATGATCAAGCACCTGCGCACCCACAATGGCGCCTCGCCCTACCAATGCACCATCTGCCTGGAGTACTGCCCCAGCCTGTCAGCCATGCAGAAGCACATGAAAGGCCACAAGCCCGAAGACATCCCCCCAGACTGGCGTATAGAGAAGACCTACCTGTACCTCTGCTATGTCTGAGTCTAAGAAAGTGAATGAAGAGGGTAGGGGATGGGTTGAGAGGTAAGGGGAATGTAACAAAGCGGATAGGAGGCATGAGTGTTGACGATCGAGGAATGTCAACGAGAAGTGACTGGAAAGCAAGAGGGTTTGTTTTCTGTTTTTTGTTTTCATGCAAAGGCAAGCGATGAGGGCGGGGTGGGGGGAAAGGGTGGTGATGGTGGGGCAAACGTGCTAAGAAGAGGAAGTCTTGGACACGGAGATCAATTCTCCACCATTGTTCGGATTCACCGGGTCATTCACTACATCTGCAACTGTGTTATTGTTTCAGGTCATTTCATGCAGCGCCATAAAGTGAGCAAGCTGCAAGGAAGTGACTTCTTGGATGCTGCTGAGTTGAGAAAGCAGATTCTCAAGGGCTATCTGAACCTCTACATCCATGCTGTCGGGAGCCTTCACTGCGTTTTGAGGTCTTGTTTTGCCCAAAAAATGGAAAACTTTTTGGGGGGGTTTTGTTCTGCAGTGGTACTTTGTGCTTTCATGCTCAAAGTATCACTGCAAACCTACATCTTTCTGGTTACGAACTACATAAAAAAATATCTCAGAAGAAGACTGAGACATGTTTTTTAACATGCATGCATCCTGAAGAAACTAATACTGTGGAGTAAATGAACAGCTTTGGGGGGGACCTTCTCCTTTTCCAGTAGAGGATGTATAGGTTTTGTCACCTTTTTTGTTTTATGCATGAGCAGTTTTCACAGAAATCTGCCCGTTATCCTGTCCATGTCTGAAAAACCTTCAGATCCCAATGGTGGCAGTGAGATAGCCCCTGAGAATCAGCAGCAGAGCCGGTAGGCTTATGCAGTAGATGAAAACAGTTGAACTGGACGAGTGGAAGCATTAATTTAATGCTGCAAACCAAGCACCCATTTGGTTGTGAGTGGGGAAAATGCTAGCGCTGCTCTTTGTCGGAAGTGTCGAAAGTGTTCTCAGTAGTCTTCCTCGTTCTGCATCTCTTTCAGATGAGGGCTGGAGAAGGTTGAGTCACAACTGGCCACTCACGGTTCTCCCCAGAGAGCCACAGGCTAACTTGTGTTACTTTTTCATCATATATATACATGCATATATATATATTTTTATTTTTTATCTTTTTTGCTCTGCATCGTAGTTTATTACGGCTTAATTGCACAAGTAAAACAAACTACGACAACAGTCTCTGTTTGACGTCAGCAAGGTATATACTTTTTTTTTCATCCGCTCATAACTCGCTACAATATTTCACATTAAACCCTGCCTATTCACCTATTGAGCAATAGATAACTGGACTGCTTGTATCCATGTACGTTTAACCAGATGACTATCATTTTTCTCACACTAACAAGAAAGTACATAAACTGACTGACACGCAAACACTTCAACTGCAAGAAATCTGTCAGTTCACCGGAGTGATTTGAAATCCAAGCAGCGGAAAGTGACTTGGGAAAAGGTTGCTGTCTGTGAGAGTCCTGTGACTTTACCTGCTAGTTGTAAATGTTGAGGATGCCTTAGCTGCACACCTTAATGTTTGTCATAGGTGGTGTGGCAGTTTGAAGACTGTTATATGGCATAGTGACATGAATGTGAACGCTTGTAAGCCCGGCTTCTACTACCATGTAAGCATACATACTGTAGCAGGTTAATGCTGCCTTTCAGTCAGTAATTCCCAGGTTATGATTAGTTTCCAGTGGGTCACACTGGAAGACTTTCTCCATCCAACATTAACAGCATGCATGCTTACGTTCCAGCAGGCAAGACTTGCTGGGCTACGCACCTTTTCATCCACGAGCCCCAGGTCATTGTGTGGAAGTGAGGTTTATTTTGGAATGTGCACCACTTGAGTACTGGCAGGTCCTGCATTATGTTACAGATATTGTATTCAGATGATGCATATTCCCAAATGTAGTTGCACTGATTTGAATTACCACTGGGGCTTTTGGCAAAGATATAGTTAAAAGGATGTGTGTTGGATACCTGTTTACAACACAGCATAGGGAAACAGCTGTAAAGCAGGCGTGACATTTCATGCTAAGCTGTAACACTGACCTTGGTTCTCTTGGGGGGGGAAAAAACACATAACCTGAGAAACTCCTGCTCCAACATTTTCTCTGACTACAAGTCGGCAAAGTCTTTTCTTACACCTTTGAAATGCAGCATTAGACCTTTACGGTATACGCAGTCAGGTATTATGGTTGAACCTTGGGAGTTTTGATGAATATCACTGCACATCACAGCGTTGTATCTGGTTGATCACATATCCAAGAAAGGGGAGATCACTGATTGGACGAGACACAGCCCAGCAGCTTAGGGGGCGACCAGTAAGATGACAGAATAAATCAACTCTTTCTCTGTGGTTTTTGTCCCTGCACTTCGTCTCTCTCTCTCTCTCGTCTTGTTTTGTTGTTTTCTTATGATTTACCTTGAGTTTGATCTCAACACATTGTACTTGAATTACCTCGTTTTTGTGACCTCATGTTCCTTTTGTGTATTTTAATTTTCCCTTTTGTTTCATTCGTTTTGTTTTGTTGTTTTTTGGGGAGTTTTTCTTTTGTTTTTATTTGTTAGTTAGCGTGTGTTGGAAAGGTGCATTGCGAACATGATTGAAGCAATGCGTACGCGGAAAAAAAAATAAGTGCCACGGCGAAGAGATTTGTTTGTTTTTTTCTTATGTTGCGTATTTCTTTGTGCATTACTCGTTACCAAACTTGGTATTATTAACCCTGCTTGTTAAAGAGCTGGAAGGTTTGGTCATTTGTTATAAAAGCTACCTCTAAGTTGTCGTGTTGTTTTTTTTTCTTTTTCTTGTTTTTTTCTTGGTAAAAGCACATTTTTTGCATTTGTGTTTTGCATTGTTTCATCTCATGCTTTTTTTTTTAAGTTGATTTATGATTGTCTGTTTTTTTAAGCAAAATGTATATAAAAGGATGAGAGATAACAAAGTAGAGGCTGATAGGATGAGAAATGCCAAATGGATGTTTATTCTTCTCTTACAGTCCCCCCAAACCTGCACCTCCAACCACAGAAGAGCAGAGAGAATGGAGGGGAAAAAAAGCAATTTTGAAGCCTTAAGTGATGAGGGATACAGCAGATAAGAGGAAGTACTATTGCTTTTAAGAGGGTTTAAAAACAAGAATCTAAACTTGAACATATGTGAATAGAATTGTAGTTTTGTAATGTGAAAAAAACAAAAAAAAACCCAGAAAGTTCGTCTAAAAAACGCTGAACCACCCAGGACAGGTCATTTTTGCAGTGATGCAGAGTGCGTTGGACAATTGGAACTGGAAGTGGTAATCAAAAAAGGAGGGAGAAAAAACCACACATAAAACAAAAGGTTAAAAATAGAGATTCTCTCAGCAGACAAGCTCTCTTGAGAAATGAGTGTATTCCTGAACAAGAGCCAATAGAGGCAATTTGATATATAAAAATTGTGATATTTTTGTATTCAGTGTCAGTCCTTTTTCCATTTGTGGAGGGTTATAGCAGGGCACAAATATTTGTATTTCTTTTTTTTTTTTTTAAACCTGTTTTTTTTTCTCTTTTTGGGTGTGAATCATTTTATTTGCCTTGCTCCTCTTTGATATTGTTGAACAAAAAAACATGTGTGTGAACATATTGTAATAATAAGTGTTGCTTTCTGGATGTCAATTGCATTGTAGGTGAAGGACTAAATCTATCCGCCACAAATTTTACGAGTGTGTGTGTGTGTGTGTGTGTATGTGACAAAGTTAAGAGAGAAAAAAAAAAGAAGAAAAAAAAAAGATGATAATATGCGGGGCGGCAGGGGGACGCGGCCAAACCGACCAATTAGTACTTGTCATTCACGATTTTTCAATCAAACTTGACTGTCGACATGTTTTTTTGTTTTGTTTTTGTACTTGAAAAAAAAGAAAAAAGAAGGGGTGGCATGTCCCGTGGTGTCTTGCCATTTTATTCTCTAACACTGTGATTTGAGGGAGCTTTTTTTCACCCTCGCATAATATCCACCCACTATAATATACCCAGTCACGGTTCAGTCTGAACACCACAATGCAAGACCTGTTCAGTCACATTATTCCTATCATCGTCCTCTGAATGTTTTCTACTTTCTTGTGCAGGTGAAAGAGTGCATGAAAGAGTGTGTAACTGTGCGTGTGCGTGTGGGTGTGTATTAGTGGAAAAATGCACTAAACAGATCAGATACAAAATAAATGATATTCTATGCCACTTTTTTTCTGTGGGAAAAATATATATATACATTGGCATTGATATAGTTCTTCCCTCAGTGTTTCTCCGATGTTTCTGTACTATCTTTGTGCCTAAAAATGGAAATTGTTCAACAAAAATATCCATCTATATCTGCTTAGTTTCTGTATTTTCAGAAGAAAATAAAAATGGTGTCTCCAGCGCCCTAGGGATGTCATGACGCTCTAAAATGACCTGATTTTCTTTCTTTTTTTTCCTTTTTAATCCTGAATAGAGCAGTGCCTCTTCTTTTCTTGTTTTTTTTTCAAGGACTGCAATAAACCCTTAATGCTATTGAAATAGCAACTAGGATTGTGCATTCGCTTCTGTTCTTTGGCTCTGCTCTATGATTGGCTCCCAGAAGCATTTATTTAGCAACACAAAACAAAACATGGGGAAAATTTACTGAAATTTGTGCTGCAGTCGTGAAACTATTAGAGACTTTTGGGGACGAGATCTGCTTTGTGATTTATTTTTCTGTTTTCTTGCAAGCAAACGAGGCCCCGAGTCTGCTTCTCTAATTCTAATTTTCTCTTTTTGTCAGCAACAGGTTTGCTGAGCAGAACATTTTATTGTTCTGGAAAAAATGTAAAAAAAAAAAAAATGATAAAGAAACCTCCATTTGGGTAGGTTAGCACCGGGGTATTACCCTTCTGTTGCTTCAGTTTTGTTTGTTTTTTAAGTACTTTTTCTTTGCTACAAAAAAGCATTTAAGAGGGGATGTTCAATTCGTCAGAGAGGAATCATGGCATCCCTGGAGCTGGCACTCTGTGTTTGGGTGTGGTGTTTCTAGAACAAAGTAGCCATTTCATGCAGTGTTGCAATGCATGTGTCATCGAGGTCTAGACTAAACTTGTTTGAGTAACAAAGCACCAAGACATTGTATTTTTTTATATTAGCACTGAGGACCAATTGCCCTGTCGGACCAAGCATAACAAAGCTTTTTATGTAACAAAGCTTTTCTCTCTCTGTCTTTCCCTGGCTTGTCTGTGCTACTTCTTTCCTCCATTGTTGTGACAGCACAAGTGCCAGTCAAGTTGCTCTATATTAAGAAAATAGTGTTTTTATTATGATTTGAATGGTTATAGTTTTTGTCTACCTCAGCACCTAATCTTAGCCTAATCTTAGAAGGTGCCCAATTATTATTTTTTATTTTCTTTATTTTGTTCTCTTATTGTTGTCAGGTATATAATTTTTTTTTTTTTTTTGGAGAAAATTGGCATTAGAGCTTTGCAAAGGTCCTTTGTCTTTTCCAGCGACAACGTGCTATTTCTTTCTGTGGCAGTACGTTTCCTGTTGAGCTGTGCCACCAATCTATAGCCACTGTCTGTTGATATAGAAGTTGTTCTTTTTCGTTTCTTTCCATGTAGAATCAGACACATCTCTTTGTAACATTTCAGTGTTCTCTGATGGAGTGTGAAAAAAATAAAAAGGAAAAATAAAAGAATTATGCTGCAGGTTTTCTTCTCCATGTTGTCGATAAAGTCAATGTTGTGCCTTTGATAGTGAAAATATAACGATTTTTTGTTTTGTTTTTTTACATCCTACTAACAGTAGATTGTTTTTTTTTTTGTAGTGAAATTTTTTTGTAATTTTATTTATGAGTCTCATAACAGAAATCAAATCATGATGTTCAGTTGTATACTTTCAAACTGCAGTTAGAAAAAAAAATAAAAAATGGACTTCATGTTGTCTGTGTTAGCCCTCTTTCTGGCTCACTATTTTGTTTACAGTAGTGGAAACCCTGTTTCACAAGAGACAAAGACTCACAACTTTTGAATCGTTGTTAAAGTTACATACAAACTTTGGCAAAAGTAGGAAAAAGTCTGCGTGGAATAGCTGCAGACATCTATCAGGGTAGATGGACAGTACTTCCACATTCAGTATTATCCTAAAAACTAAAGGCATTAAATAAAAGAGCAAGGTATTATATATATCTCAAAGAAAATAACTATTATACTGCAGATATGAAAATACCAAATAAATAAAAGCCAAAGACGACCGGTTACATTTAAAGGACCAGTGAATATGAGAGATTTTATCTTTATCTCATTTTATCTCAACACAACTCGCTATATGCTGTACTGTTATTTTCAGAATGACTATATCAATAATATTATTGTATAACTAGTATTTAATCTGGTGAAAAGACATTATTTTTACTCATTTTTAAAACTAAGATTTCGTCCACTCTTGCTTTACTTTATTGTAATGTGGGCAGGGTCATGTTTACGAGCAGCAAGACATACTTAAAGCAAAAAATAAATATCCACATTAAGTAACCGGAATCAACGTTTTATAACCATTTCAAAGTATCTGACTGATGCCACCATCAGTTTTCTGTGAATCTGCTTTATTTTTCAACAAATGCTCAGAGCTGAAGTGCATTCAGTTGTCTAGCTTTGCACTCAGCATCTGGCTGTTTGCCACCAGTTCTCACTCATAATGTACTAACGGTAACTGTTGCACCACTTCAAGCCTGACTGCCTTTTGTCTGTTCAGTCGCTAATGCCATAGAGGTCATAAATGCTATCATTAGATATGCAGGGGCATGTTTATCTGCGCACCTGTGCTCTCACACAGGCATGATTGTCATTAGAGAGGAAGCGAAGCAAGACAAAAAATGTTCCGATTTTGCACAAAGATAGACGACCCCAAACAGGGGTTTTTTCTGTGGCAAGTTATAGCTGATGTTTATCACCTGTTATCATTTTGCATCGTTGCTCAAGCTCACATCAAAACATCAAATATTTTGATATACCATTTAAATTTATACAGCAGGTATTGAATAATTGTTCCACGGTTTTAGAGCAGTAGATCATTGTGAAGCTAAAGAAACAGCCAGTATTTAGAGAGGCTTAATCCCTGTCTTTAAAAGTAAAAAGAGAAGATCAGTCTATGAGTCCAATATCTGTTTCAGTGCAGCGAAGTCTTCTTTAATTAGGAGAACTTTTAACAAAAGGATCACAATGAAACTTTTGATCACTTAAGACAAGTTTAAGATAAATTTGGTTCGATTCTGCACATGAGCCATATTTTAGTATTTCTAGTAGTCATAAACTATATTTAACTGTCCACTATTAAAGGTTTTTATTAAGAGATAACACAGTGAAATTTTCCTTTTTTTAAATTCCAAGTTTTCTGAAACTGTTCACCGTAATTAAACAAATGAGGTATCTCATTACTTATTTAGCAATTTGCAGACACTGACAGGAGAAATAGAGGAAAATGAACACAGAAATCTGTGCTTGGTTATTTTGTGAACCCTAGTTTGACCAAATATAACAAGCCAGAAATCACCTTTGCATTGCTCATTGGATTTGTAACCACTGCTATTGCAGGGACTCTCTGCCATTTGGTCTTAGAGCTGAAAAAGCTTGTCGGTTGAGAGGTGAAGCATCTTCAAGAAACTTAAAGAAGTCCCATCAGTTTTCCTTCGAATCTCCTTAGATTACCATGAGCTGGATAACTGAGAACCTACACTGCTATTGTTTCTACACATGCTTCACTAATAATATTTTGTCACTTCGTCACTGATGCATATCTCATCTGAATTCGACAGCCAATTAAAACAGTTACTACTTTTGTCAGTCAGACTTTTCTCTCCTTAATATTGTCCAGCATGACGTTTTTTGGTTGTTTGTTTTTTTTTAGTCAAATCAAATATGTATGAAAAAGTAAAGAAAGCACTTTCTATTTTACTGGAGCACTCAAAGTGCTTTATACAACATGCTTCATTCACCCCTTCATGCTTTTTTTCCAGTACAGCATTTTTCCAGTCTTCTGATATCCAGTTTGAAATGTAGCCTCGGTTTTCTGACCTTAGCTGACAGGAGTGGCATCCTGTATGGTGTTCTGGTGCTGCAGCTCATCTGCATCAAGTTCCAGTGTGTTGTGAGTGTTCTGCATACCTTCATTGTAATGAATCATTATTTGAGTTGCTGTGACCTTCCTATCAGCTCAAAGTAGTCTTCTCCTTTAACCTCCGCTATCAACAAGGCTTTTTGTTTTCTCTTTTCTGACCGTTCATTGTAAACGTAAGAGATAATTGTGTAGGAAAATTCCAGTAGATCAGCAGTTCTGACCAGCCCATCTGGCATCAACAACCATGCCACACTGAGTCACCTTTCTTCCTAATTCTGATACTTGGCTTGAGTTTCAGCAGCTCATCTTGATCATGTCTGTGTGCCTAAGTGTTTTGAGATAATGCCATGTGATTGGCTGTAACATTTGAGTCACAGTTTTTCCTCAGCTGGTTTGATGCAGCAGAAAAGTCTCTCTTAATGCAGTTCTCACAACAGTTCAGACATTTTTCATAACGCAGAATCAGCTGTGCAAAAGACACTGAAAGATTCAAAATACCCTTTTCACATTTATCAAAACACGAATAGTGAGTCAATCACTTCAACTCTGTGATGAAAGAATCAAACCCTTTCACCACTCTTTAAAGAATTAGTCATTGAAATGTTTAGTTGTTTCTTTGTCTTAAACCCTTAGTGACTTTGAGAGATTTCTGCAAAAATGTGAAGGATTTTTTGACACTTTACAAAATTGCTGAAATTGAGAAAAGCTAAATAATACCCATTAAATTCTATGCATCAGAAAACGGACAAGTAAAATATATATAATCTGAGACCTGAACACCAACTACTGTGTGGGCCAGTAAAGTCACGCTACATACATTTAGCAACCACTTTATTAGATATGCTTGTTCCAATGCTTGTTACAGTAATCCAAATATCTAATCAGCCTTTAACATCAGCAGCAACTCAAAGTATTTAGGCATGTAGACATGATTAACTTAAATAACCACTCATTAGAAACAGGCTAGGCAGAAGAGCATCCCTGAAAGTACAACATGTCTGGCCTTGAAGGAGATCTGTACTTCAGATGGGTACAGAAGACCACACTGGGGGCTACACCCATCAGCTAATAACAGAAATACCTAAGGCTACATTGGTGAGTCACACAGTCTCACCAAAATACAGAAGACTGAAAAAACTGTACTCCAATGGCCTTCAGTCAACAGTATCCAGTAGAGGTTCCTTGGGGCTGCTTAAAAGGGAAACTTGGATGAGCAGCTGACACTAACCTGAAAGTATGCATTTCTATTTGTTGCAAGTAAACCTCTGAATAGGCGTTACTGTATTTGCTCTTTCATACAAGCTTGAAGTCACTGGACTGGAAACATTAAAGCAATGCTGGACAGTATTAGTAGAAAAAGGGTGTTTTCATATTCAAATGACATAATTTCCTTAGGGATTATTAAAGTATTCTGATTCTGAAGTTCATCAAGACAGTAAGAAATATCTTTAGTAGTGTAACAATAGCAGTATCACTGGACAATTTATTAGGTACACCTTTAGGTAGATCTGTCTAGTACTGGTTTGGATCCCAATAGGTGATTCTATTGTGTAAAATGCTTAATTCTTCACATTTCATTTTTGGGTGTGAACACTATTTTTTTAGGGCCAGTAAAAAAATAGTTGGTATTTTTTGATAAAAAGTAGAAAAATATTTTGATGTCAACGTCCTAAAACAGCAGTGAGTAAAGGCTTTTACTCAGCGGTCACAGTGTTTAAGTGAAGTGCTCGACTGCATATTCTAACTCATGTGAAACAAGCTTTGATTGTTGAATTGTATCAAAACAATTGAGAAGACTTAAAAAAAGAAATATGGTAATTATTATTCATCATTTTACTTACTTATGCTTACATTAAATAGTATTATGAACATAATCATGTTCATAATTTGGTGAGGGAGCAGGATTTATTTGTCTCCTCTGGTGCATTGGACATGTTTTTTTGTATGAATGCTTTAACAAGATGATTCATGTGGCCTGATATTTCTTTTCCCAGTGCCATCATCAGGCTAAAATCTCCACATGCTACCCTTTCCAAACAAAACACAGCACTGAATAGGTGGATTGTACAACATTTGCTGAGAAAA